GAATTATAGGATCCATTGTAACTTTCTATCTTCTTCATTATTCTTGAGTCAGTATAATCTCTTAATTCCGCTGCCATATTTTCTCGTCTTTATTATTCTTTTACTTGATCTAATACTTCATTATTTGCCATATAACTTCAACATCTCAATCCGGGGGTTTGTTTCATAACATGTTTAGTAAATTAAACAATCTGGGCACTTCAACAAATGGTCCAAAAGGTAGACCATGTTTGGTTAATTGCTTGAAGTTAGTAAATGAAGCAACTGATTGTGTCGCTAATAGCTGTCTCTTTTTTCAATGAGAAGCAACTTACTGTCGACACTCTTATGATAGAGTAAGGTAATTCTTTGTTTTGAGAATGGCGGTTTGCTAAAAAAAAATTCCAAGTGGCATAACCAAGAGTGCTAAAGAGATGGATTGAAGCAAATACACAATTGTCCAACCAGGAGGAGACATGGAAGAATTCTTATTTAAAGGTTTTGGACAATTCAAAGTCATGTTGGATTGTCTCACATTGATTAGGAATTGAATCTTATTGTCCTACATAGAAAGGAACCATTTCATTTCCTAGATAGGAGTTATAGGCATTGATTTATTTTATCCTACTAGAAATTTAATTAGTTAGCCATTTCCTATAAATATGAATCACTCCATTTTATTTTCTTCTTCCCATGTTTTAAGATGGTCTTGGACTACCATGGGAGAGAGACTTGCAGACCATTGAGGGTTTTGGGATGTCTAAAAGATATTATGTGATTGTAAAAAAGGAAATATTACATAGTAAAAAATCTCTGTCTTTTACAACAAGTAATTTTTCTCCTAATTTGGAATTTTCCGTGTAAGTTCATTTGCACTATTTGTGTTATTATTAAAAGGATTTATGTGAAAGAGGAAGACGAGGCTCCGAGGCCAAAGGTGAGCTGTGGACGCAGAGAAGGAGAAAGATTGATATGAAGACTCTATTCAATATTATTGGTACACGTACCTTTAAATACAAGAAGTGACCTGACAACTTTCTAACTCTATACAAGATAAATATGGAAAACCTATATTGCTTGGAGAGCAATCCTAGGATATACATGGACTAGAATAATTACAGGATATACATACAAGAATACACGTAGACTAAATAAGGAAAAGATATATGGATTGACTTGGACGTCCCCTTAATTATCCCATTATGTCCCCCTCAAGATGGAGGGTGGTAATACTCCAATCTTGGTACGCAACAAGGCATGTCGAGGTCCGGGGAGTGGCTTTGTAAGGGCATCAGCAAGCTGATCGGAGGAGTTAATGTGGGTGACGCGCAGCTTCCAAGCTTGCACTAATTGGCACACATAGTGATAGTCAATGGCAAGATGCCTCATCTTGGAATGGAAGACGGGATTGGCGGTGAGATAGGTTGCTCCAAGGTTGTCACAGTAGATGATAGGGATGGAAGTGGAGGACACGCCAATCTCGCAAAGTAGGGAGATGAGCCATTGAAGTTCAATAGCAGTGGAAGCGACCAAGCGATATTCAACTTTAGTGGAAGAATGAGCTACGGTGGACTGACCTGACAACTTTCTAACTCTATACAAGATAAATATGGAAAACCTATATTGCTTGGAGAGCAATCCTAGGATATACATGGACTAGAATAATTACAGGATATACATACAAGAATACACGTAGACTAAATAAGGAAAAGATATATGGATTGACTTGGACGTCCCCTTAATTATCCCATTATGCCCCCCTCAAGATGGAGGGTGGTAACACTCCAATCTTGGTACGCAACAAGGCATGTCGAGGTCCGGGGAGTGGCTTTGTAGGGGCATCAACAAGCTGATCGGAGGAGTTAATGTGGGTGACGCGCAGCTTCCAAGCTTGCACTAATTGGCGCACATAGTGATAGTCAATGGCAAGATGCCTCATCTTGGAATGGAAGACGAGATTGGCGGTGAGATAGGTTGCTCCAAGGTTGTCACAGTAGATGATAGGGATGGAAGTGGAGGACACTCCAATCTCGCAAAGTAGGGAGATGAGCCATTGAAGTTCAATAGCAGTGGAAGCGACCAAGCGATATTCAACTTTAATGGAAGAATGAGCTACGGTGGACTGCTTCTTGGAGCTCCAGCTAATAGGCGTGTTCCCAAGATAAACGATAAAGGCTCCGGTGGAGGACCTATCTGCAAGATCTCCTACCCAATCTGCATCTGAAAAGGCATGAAGGGAAATGACAACGGATCTGTGTATTTTTAAACCAAAGTCAATGGTACCACATAAATAACGCAGCACACGTTTCAGACAATTCTAGTGTGACGTATTTGGTGTGTGCATGTGTTGAGACAATTTATTGATACTGTATGATAAATCTGGCCTGGTAAGGGAGAGATACTGCAAGCCTCCAATAATTGATCGATACTCCTTCGCATTGTCCAGCTCGTGACCATCAGAGAATGTGGCCTGAAAATTTAAGGCTAGGGGGGTGGATGTGGGCTTTGCATCGTGCATGTTCGCACGTGTAAGAAGATCATGGATATTTTTTCACTAGGTGAGAAACAGGCTTGCGGGAGTGTGTGTGACTTCTATACTAAGGAAGTTTGTAAGAGTGCCTAGGTCTTTGAGGGAAAATTGAGATGCAAGGTGATGAATGAGGTTGTTTAAGGCTATAGGTGAGTTTCCAGTGATTATAATGTCATCAACATATACGAGAACGAGGATGAATGTGGAAGGCATACGAAGAATAATGAGAGATGTATCTGTTTGTGAGGAGCAGAAACCAAGAGTGCAGAGGAAGTTTTTTGAGAGATTCATACCAGACCCGAGGCGCCTGTTTTAATCCATAGAGTGAGCGGTTCAATTTACAAATGTAATCTGGCCGTGTTATATCTTTGAACCCCGACGGTTGATGCATGTATATGGTCTCGGTAAGTTTGCCATGCAAAAACGCATTATTTACATCGAGTTGACGTAATTGCCACCCGAATTGCATCGCAAGTGTAAGCACGAGACGAACCGTGGTTGGTTTGACAATAGGACTATAGGTTTCATGAAAATCAATGTCATACCGCTGTTGGAAGCCACGGGCAACAAGTTGGGCTTTGTAGCGATCAATGGACCCATCCGGTTTGTGTTTGATCCTAAATACCCATTTGCAACGTATTACATTATGCTTAAGAGCAGGAGGAATGAGTGTCCAAGTCTTGTTGTCGACGAGAGCGTCATATTCATGGTGCAATTGTTGGTACTGTGGGGGGTAGTGAGGTATGCGAGGGGTGGGAGTCGGTGGTAGAGTCAAAGGGTTGGCGAGGTGGAGATGTGAGTGGAGAGATAGGTTGCGCGTTTTGTAAAAGTTCTGTGATGGATTTGGTTTTGCGAGGTGGAGAGGGAGGGGAGTTGGTGGCTGTGGTTGGGGATGGAATGGGTGATGATGGTTGTGTTGGAGTTGGTGACAGTGACGAGTCCATGGGACTGGATGACAGAGATGGTGAGGACAGGAACGGTCCTGTGATGACCAGCGTTGGTGGGGAATCTGGTTGCTGCGGCGAGGAGAAAGGTGAAACTGATGATGGTGACCCTGTGATATTGCCTTGATCCTTTTGAACAGGAGGGGATGAGGGAATAGTGAACGTGGGAGGAGATGGTGAGACCGTCTTTTGTGCTTGTGAAGTTTGTAGTGGAACAGGTTGTGCGAAGGGAAAAGATATGTTCAACAAAGACAACGTGATGTGAAGTGAAGATTTTATTTTGTTCTTTAGCGAAGCATAGATAAGCACTTTGAGAGCTCGAGTAACCAAAGAAAATGCACGGTTTAAAACGAAGCTCAAGTTTATTGTTATTGTATGGCCGTAACCATTGGTAGCATAAGCAACCGAACACCCGCAATTTCGCAAAATTCGGTGGTTTTGAAAATAATTTTTCAAAGGCCGTTGAATAATTTAAATTTACCTTGGGCATTCGATTGATTAGATACACCGCAGTGTGAAATGCATAGGGCCAGTATTGATGAGGGACAGATGCAGTGTGAAGCAAGCTTAAACCTATTTCAACAATGTGTCTGTGTTGTCTCTCAGCGAAACCATTGTACTCGGGTGTGTGTGGTGGTGAAGTTAAATGACTAATGCCATGTGAAGAAAGAAAGTGTGACAAGGTCAGGAACTCACCACCATTGTCACTGTATAGCCATCAAATTTTTGTGTGCAAAAAAATTTCTACTAATGATTTGAATTTTATAAAAATATCTTTTACATCAGATTTTCGCCGAAGTGTATACAGCCACACATACCGAGTGAAGTGATCAACAAACACCACATACTATTTAAAGCCTTCATGAGATAAATAGGGGAGGTCCGCACATCAGAGTAAATCAAATCCAAAGGTTTATTACTAGTTAAAGACGAGGAATCAAATGGCAATTTATGACTCTTAACACACTGACATCAGTCACAATTAAATAAACTAGACCTAGGTGGAACAAAAATGGAGTTCGATTGAATAAAATAGTTTAAAATTTTAACTGACGGATGTCCTAGACGACGATGCAAAGTATCAAATGAAAAGAGCTGTGCAGGGTAGGTATGTTTAGGATAAGGCGAAAGAGATTGGGGCAACACGTACACTCCATCTTTAATTCCTCCTTGCAGAACCGGCTTCGCCGTGTGCAGATCCTTCATAGAAAAATTGGATGGTGAGAATGCAACAGACATATTATTTTGAGAGCAAAATTTGGAGACGGATATATAAGATTTTTGCTCATTCTGGGTACACACAAAACGTTATCAAGTTAAAAATTGGAATTTTGTGATTGTAGAAATTTAGTGCCTGTGTGTGTAATGGTTAGACCCGTACCGTCACCGATGTGAATATCATCTGGTCCAAGATAGTTACAATGGAGGGAAAAATTGTTGAGATCTGTTGTGACGTGGTGAGAGGCACCGGAGTCCAATAGCCAATCGGATGAGCTAGGGGAAGCTTGTGCTGCAACATAGGCGGATGGCAAAAAGGGCTGGAATTGCTATGGTTGCCGTGAAGGATAAGCACCAGGTGAGTTGTTCTGGATAGGTGCACTTTGCCATTTTTGACAATACTTTGCCGAGTGACCCACTTCTTGACATAGCTGACATTTACCCCCATAATTGCTAGGCCTGTAGTTGTGAGAGAACTGAGTAGGGACGAATTGTGAATTGTTTTGGGGCGACTGGTTGGAATTAAACTGAGACCGAGAGTTGCTATTTTTGTTGCGGCTGTTATTGTTGTTTGATGGCTTGTTGGTAGTGTAGTTGGCAGTCACTGGAGAGGAAAGTTGGTGATGTGTTTGGTTTGCCTTGATCTGGAACTCGGTTGCTTCAAGTTTCTCTTGAAGTTCATCTATTGTGAGAGATGTCTCTCTCGCATTAATGGCAGCAGCTATGTCCTTATAATCTTTGTCCAGACCATTCAGCACGTGCACGGTTACCTCATCAGGATCTGGCTCCTTGTCTAGAATAGACAGTATCTCAACAATTTTTCGAACTTCACGCATGTAGTCCAGCTATTGAGGAATTGCCTTTGTGCAGTCGTGACATTTTTCCTTTGAGCCCCGTAATCCTGGCTCGACATTTTTTGGCAAAGGTTCCTTGGATTTTTAACCATGTCTCGTGTGAGGATTTTGCCAAGGTGATAGTAGAGACATATGTTGGTGAAATTGAGCTTAACATTGCATTCAGGATCAATTGATCTTGTCGAATCCAATAAGAGAAATTAGGATTTGGTGTGTTAACATTATCCACTTTGATGGTGGCCGATGGACATACCGTGGTCCCGTCAACGTAACCAAAGAGATCATAACCAATCAAACAGCTATGAATCTGAGCATACCATGTAGAGTAGCTTTCAGGATCAAGCTTAACTGGAAGCTGCAATTGTGAATTAATCACAGTTGGGAGTTGATTGACGTGTGAAGCCATGATAGACGATTGGCTTGAGATGACGGTTGAGGAGGAATCTGAGACAGCAGATGAAGAGGTGGAATCCATGGATCAAGAGGTCATGCTACTTGGCTCTAATACCATAAAAGGATTTATGTGAAAGAGGAAGACGAGGCTCCGAGGCCAAAGGTGAGCTATGGACGCAGAGAAGGAGAAAGATTGATATGAAGACTATTCAATATTATTGATACACGAACCTTTAAATACAAGAAGTGACCTGACAACTTTCTAACTCTATACAAGATAAATATGGAAAACCTGTATTGCTTGGAGAGCAATCCTAGGATATACATGGACTAGAATAATTACAGGATATACATACAAGAATACACGTAGACTAAATAAGGAAAAGATATATGGATTGACTTGGACGTCCCCTTAATTATCCCATTAATTATTCTGTATCTCTATGTGTTCTTGATATTTTCTTAGATGAGGATTCTGGGGTGAATTAGGAAATTCCCAACAAGTACTATCACACGTCGTTTGGTCAACAAGTTTTCATGAAAAAGAATGAGTTGGTACAAGTGGGTCCAAAAGTTTGCACAACTGTTACTGTTTGACATTGATACAAGGTACATGATGGAATTATTCTCCATAAATCTACTATTTCAAAATGCATTCTTACTATAAAAATGAGAAATAAACAGGCTCTTAGTATTTATCTCAAAATTATGTTTTGACCTTGGTCTAGACTCATGACTTCTTTCTATGACAAACATAAGGTACCGAAAGGAGTTAGGGTGGTTTTTTTTTTTTTTTTTTCCGAACGAAAATAGAATTATCCATTTTGTGCAAATATGAATCACATCGTTATATTTCTTCATCCCAGGTTTTAAGTTAATGTATTATAGGAGTCGGTTATGTTTTCCTACTGGAAATAGAATTAGTTATTAGTTAGCCTTATTCTATAAGTACGAGTCAAACCAGTGTATTTCTTTCAACCCTGGTTTTAAGATAGCAATGGACCATCTTTGGGGATGAGACTTGTGGTGGATTTATAACCTAACTCGGTTTTATATATTTTTGTTGTGTATGTGGGGGTTTGGAGTGTGTAAAAAATAGTGTATAATTGTAATAATATTTACATAATGGATAAATCTTTCTTTTTTTTTTTATATCATATGGTTTTTCTCCTTTTTTTGGAATTTTCCACGTAATTCATGTAGTCTTATTAATTCATGTGTTTTATTCTATATTTTACTTATTTATGTGCTCTTCTTGATTTTTTTTTTCTCAGAGTAGCACTCTATGGATGAATTAGAAATTTGATCAAGTTTCCTTACACATTGCAATTTAATTATAATTTGTTTTTCTTCACCTTTCTACGTCATATTATAAAAACAAGAAACTAAGAAACATAATGACTAATTTATAAATTCATGCTTTCCATCTCCATTTATGTGCTTGTTTTTACAAAGCCTTGTGTGTTTATACACATATATGCTTTTTTTTTTTTTTTTAAAGAAAAACACCGTCAACACCCAAGCAAGGTTTTTAGGCATCTACATAAATGCAATGGAGGAGGGTTAGGAGTATCCTTACCATGTCTTATTCATCAGACTTTGAAATACATAGGGGAGAAAGATGTTCTTGCTTTCACTTAAGACTTTATATCGAAGAGAGTAGATATATAAAGGCACTTAACGAAGGAGGTACTACCTCCCTTACAATGAACGTCGTTAAAAAGCTACTAAGACATATCCCTAAGTGTAACTTACATTTCTATACTATTCACCCAGATCATTTAAATGCCTATAAGGAACTTTCAATTAATCCAGCTGAAGAATCCCGCCAATATACCTTGTATCTCACCTTGCTGAATGATCTTGTGTTTATAGATAATGTTAGAATTTAGGTGTGACCCGAATTCCTTGTTAAAGTAATTGAAGAATTCTAATTGAAGCGCACATCAAGAAGAATTCAGTTTGGAATGCTATTGGAGTCATATGTCAAATTGAAGTTCTATATTGAAAGCCCATTAGAAGTTGAAATTGGTTTTGGACTTGATTTTTTGATATCCTACTTCATAAATAACTCTACAAGTAGGGTTTGGACATCCCTTACATGTTCCCTATAAATACTAGGTTCCTCTATACAATTTTATGGTGTGAGAAAATAGATTATTAGAATTATAGAATTTATTGTAATTTTTTCTCTCTTCTCCATTATTCTTGAGTCAATAAAATTTCTTAATTTCTATGCCATATTCTTGTCTTTATTATTCTTTTACTTGATCATATACTTCATTATTATTTGTCATATAACTTCAACATCTTAATCCGGTGGTTTGTTTCACAACAATTAGTATCAGAGCAATTCTGGTATCTTGGTTGTTTTACAAGAATTGGTATCAGAGCGCCAAGTTCAGCAGTTTCGCAAGAGCGCAAGGTTTGATTTGTTCGAAGTTTCTGTTCGTGATGGCTTCCATGAAGTATGACATTCCGCTTTTGGATCGGAGCACTAGATTTTCACTATGGCAGGTTACGATGCGTGCGGTACTCGCACAACTGGATTTGGCTGATGCGTTGCTGGGAATTGACAAGATTCCCACAACTTTGACCGCGGATGAGAAATTACGAAAGGATAAAAAGATAGTTTCTCACATTCATCTTCATCTATCGAATATCATTATTTAGGACGTTTTGAAGGAGAATTCCGCAGCTATTTTATGGTTTAGGTTGGAGCAATTGTGCATGACTAAAAGTCTGACAAGCGAGTTGAACCCCAAGCAGTGTTTATACTCTCATCGAATGGCAGAAGGAGGATCAATGGAAGACCACCTGGCTGTATTTAAGGAGATCATCGCTAATTTGGAAACTTTGGAAGAAAAGTATGATGAAGAAGATTTGGCTTTGATCCTATTGTGTTCGTTTCCTGCTTCGTTTTCTTCATTGAGATATATAATCTTGTATAGTCGTGATACTCTTACCATAGAGGATATGTATGATGCTTTGTATGCAAAAGAGAAGATAAAGCATCTGGTTTCTGAGTTCAGAGATGGAGAATGCCTGATTACTCATGGTGGTTCTGGAAGGGGCAGATCAAAGTCTAAGTTCAGTAATCAGATTTGTAACTACTACAAGAAGAAGGGGCACTTGAAAAATGATTGCTACAAATTGCAAAATAAACAAAGGTTGACTGCAAGTCCATATGGGAAACAATCATATATTCAAGCAAAGCAAACATCGCATAGAACGTTGTAAGTGATGGAGATCTCTTAGCTATTTCGACATTGATTCTAAATCGAAAGATGATTAGATTCTTGATTCAGCATGTGTGTTTTATATGTGTCCTAATAAGGACTTGTTTGCTACAATTAAATTGTTTACAAAGGTGTCGTGGTTATGGAAAACAACGCATCTTGTCGGGTTGCTGAGTCAAATTGAAGCTTTTAGATGGGACAAGTAGAACACATGGCCAAGTTCGACATATTCCAGATTTGAAGAAAAATCTCATCTCATCTCATCTCATTGTCTATCCTTGATTCAAAAGGTTATGAGTTCTTTAGTGGAGGTGGAGCTTTGAAGGTTTGTAAGGGTGCCCAAGTTGTATTGGAGGGATATAAATGGTCTCAGTTATACATCTTATAGGGTTGTGCAGAATTTAAAAGAGTCAATCAGCACAAGTTCAGTACTGTGGTGGACATTCAGTTTGGTACAATACATTTAGGAGCTTATAAATTATCAGATTTGAAGAATACAGTTAAGTGGAGTTCAGGAAATATAGATAATGAAACTTTGCCACCATCACCTGCGGTGCCATACATTCAATTGCTAGAGACGGACCCAGTAAAACAAGGTATGTGGATGCTGATTTTGTTGAGCATGCTTTAAGTAGAGTAGAAGGTGTACAATCTGGCAATGGGCTTTCTTTAAAAGCATTTGGATTTGATTCTGCTTTGGGGTGTGTTACAGTCCACTTTGGTAAATTATAAAATCATTATTATTTTTTGGGATCTGAGGTAATTCTGCAGAGTAGTACTTGGATTCATTGGAAGAGGTGGAGTATTGTGTTTTGTTGGATAAATGAATTAATTTTTATTATTGTTGAAGAAGCCAGTTCATCCTTGGTAGAATTCGTGTCAAGGTGGAGATTGTTAGAATTGAGTGTGACCCGAATTCCTTGTTGAAGTAATTGAAGAATTCTAATTGAAGTGTACATCAAGAAGAATTTAGTTTGAAATGCTATTAGAGTCCCATGTCAAGTTGAAGTTCTATTTTGGAAGCCCATTAGGAGTTATATTTGTTTTGGACTTGATTTTTTGGTATTCTACTTCTTCAACAACTCTACTAGAAGGATTTGAACATCCCCTACATGTTCCCTATAAATACTAGGCTCTTCTATATAATTTTATGGTATGAGAAAATAGATTATTAGAATTATAGGATCTATTGTAATTTTTTCTCTCTTCTCCATTATTCTTGAGTCAATAAAATTTCTTAATTCCTCTACCATATTCTTGCCTTTATTATTCTTTTGCTTGATCATATACTTCATTATTATTTGCCATATAACTTCAATATCTCAATCCAGTGGTTTGTTTCACAACAATTGGTATCAGAGCAATTTTGGAATCTCGGTTGTTTTACAACAGATAATAAAAAAAAATCTTTTTTTTAAACGAACGGCTTGCTCTAATTAATAGAACCTCACTTGTGGCGGAGGAATATCGTGGTTACAAACCAAATAAAACCAACTAAACATTTTTTTTCCAAACTCGTAATCTAAAAAAACATTGAAAGATTTAAAGTCAAACTGTGGGGAGAAAAACCTCCTAAATTAGGAATGCCCAGTTTATCTATACGCAAAGCTCATCTAACTGATGATGAGATTGCGATAGAATCCAGCACGATATGTGAAACACTAGACGCTTCCAGCTTCGACAGGACATCAGCTACCGAATTACTTTCGCGATATATGTGCTGAACTCTACATGAGATTATAGACAATAGGTATTTTGTTTCTTCCCAGTAATCTTCTAAATACCAAATACCACAAACCTTGCTCCTTAGCCAATTAACGACAATCAATGAGTCTAGACCCTCTTCAAGTTGGTTAATCCCCATCCTTTTAGCATGTCGCTTCCCATATAATAATGCCAGTAGTTCAGCCCCATTATTGGTACCCTCACCAAGATCCTCAACAAAGGCTATGATAATATCACTCTTCTCATTCCTAATAATACCTCCAGCACCACAAATTCCAGGATTGCCCAGGTAACATCCATCAGTTTGAGTTTGTACCACCTCTGCATTGGTCGTTGCCATCTCACTACTTTAATTTTTTTCCTTTTAATATGCTTTACTGGTATATTAAGTTCCCTCAACAACCATTCATCTCTTCTGCTTATCGTTCTCACTTCTTTTAGTTTTAACCCCACCCAAGAGATCCAAACTTTTATCTTTCTCCAAGTAGCTTCTATAGACTCTATCTTTCCCTCCATCTTGGCTGAACATCGCCACATCCATAAATGCCAGCAAATTATACTAGGAATAATACTTACCAGAGTACCTTATGTGATGTTTGTTTTGCTCTTCGGAACCAAATTTCTACACGCTCTCTCCATCCTGGAGTCTGCATGCATCAAATTCATAGCAAGGTTGAACATTTCTACCAAATTTGTTGAGCCACATTTCCCAAGGCCAAGACGTTATTTTGACCCTCATATCCCCCATGCAAGCAGCACATTCACTTTGATACAATGGGGATACCAACCTTTCGGATTTTGTCATCTACCGAGAGACCTCATTTCATGGCCAACCACATATTTAACGAAATCTTCTTTGGTAGAGTTGGGTGCCAAATCCATTCGTGCCACTGTGATATCTGCCCCTGACATCTTGTAGCTTCCCAAGCACTTTTTGTAGAAGAATGTCCATCCAAACTTTCAGCCCAAATCAGTCTGTCTTTGCCTGTCTTAATTTTTCCCAGTTTAGCAAGAACCTCTCCCACTTGATCTCTCCCAACTAGCTCCTCTATCAGATTTTTATTCCACCCGTTTTCGTTTTTAAGATCTTTGATCAAGATTTTAGGTTGTTCAACCAATAGCATCTGATTTCCCAAAGGATCCATATTTGACCATCTATCACACTAAAATGATACACCACCCTCCTTCACTCGCCATCTAGATCATTTAAGAACATCTGGCATGCAACTCATAACCATCTTCCAGAATCTTGACCCCTTAGTAGCATTCACTTGAGATATGTGTTTGTCCTTGATATATTTTGTCCTAAAATTTTTTGACCAAAGAGATGTTTCAGTCAAAATTTTCCAGGCTAATGGATAATGAAAATATCTTTTTCTAAACACTCCACGTTTTGAGGTAGAGTTAATTCTGCAATACCTTGTTGTCTTCGGTTGATGGCTAGGGCTCCTATGGTACCTCATCCTTGGGACAATCAGATTATGTGTTCTATATTCTGATGCTCTATATTTTTCTTCCTTTCTACTTTTTCTACCTTGCAGTTTCCTTTTAACTATTGCGACACTATTTAAACATGAACCCATAATGAATTATCAAGGCTATGTGCAGGCTTGCATCTTTGTGATGAGGATAATCCTCATACGTACGCTAGCAAGGATACAACGTCAGAAGTTATCTCAAAACATTACCATTGTCTCATAGTGAAGGTGCTCGAATCACATGGCGTGAACAAGGAGGGTCTGGAGAATGTTATTCAACTAATCTGAAAGATAGAACACGTGGTTCAGATTGAGGGGAAAGAAGGACTCAACATGTTTAGATTTTTTAGATAACTCAGTAGACTTTGGCGGGCATGGACATTCAACAAACAGTTGATTGTGTTGGTGAAATTGACTAGCTTTGGCGACAAATCAATGAAAAACTTTGATTACACATCATTTTTGGTACCTTAGTGTAGATAATACCAGAATATTCACTCCACAAATCAAGAAATCTAGAATAGTACTGCTCAATGGTGAGATTACCTTGACTGTAATTCCCAATCTCAAGCTCCAATTGAAATCGTCTTACATTGTCTGGATGGTATATGCACTTCAGATACTCCCACATTGCTTTAGCCTTACCAAAAGTGCATAAGTTTTTCTCCATATGAGCTTCAATAGTCCCTAGAATCCAAGAGATGATCCAAGCATCATCTGTCTCCCATTGGCTAAGTTCTTGCCCTATATAAGAAAAAAAAAAAAAACTCATCAACAAAGGCAAAAGAAAAGCCCAACTGATCTCCACAACACCAAAGCCCAACTGATATCTACACAACACCAGAACTTTGCAAAATCGTAAGAATCAGATCTTGAGAAGTCACCAGAATGTTGTGAAATCAATCTTCACGTCGGGTTCACCAAAATCACAGACTGGCACACAAAATTTTCACCTTCGGCAACCAAAGATGATGCAGTCCAGATAAGGAAATTTGGACAGAAGACGATGTCCCTAATCCACCGATCAAGCCGATGTCCAAAACTTGGTAGACCCAAAGTCTCAAAATGATAACAACACAAAAAGCTTGAGAACTCTTGAGCAACGAGAGAAATCCAAGCAACGAAATTCGAATCCACAAACAGCGGAATGAAAATCGAAAAAAAATTGAAGATTCAGCGATGGATTCGAGAGGTAGGCTCTGATAGCATGATAATATTTTGGCTATAACCTCTTCGTGAGGATTTTCTTCACTAAATAAAAAATACAACGGCAATTATAGCTAGATTCTAGAGATTACAATTATGGTGTCAGTCTATCTAAGGTAAGAATATTACACTCTATATAGAATTACATATATACACTAAGTATAGTACCATAATCTCTGTCGACATATTGCATTGAATCGTACTCAATATTTTTTTGACATATTGTATCAATCGTACTGTACTATTTAAAAGTGGTTGATTTATATTTTTGTTAACTTTAATTATTATATGTTTATTGAAATACATAGCGGCAATCAAATAAACAAATAAAATAAAATAATTAATATAAAAAATCAACTTTAATGTCATAAATAGACATCTATTTACGACATGCATCGTATGGCGTAAAAATTGAGTATTTACATATGAGAAGGTAAAACACTAGACAAGCACCCAAATTGGGACATTATAATCATACCTAAATGTTGTATTCAGAAATCGATGTGTTGACCCCAAAAAATGAATCAACATATGCCGAGCCCACACTCGTCAAATCAAGCACGATTCCAGCGCGTTCCTGCTGGAATGATAACGGTAGCGATAAGGAAATGGAGGCAGGATATGTGGAAGGATAGATGCAATGTAAAAATATTTCCTTTCCCTGAGTTTAAGTGTCTATTTTCAATATATTATCCTCTCGATCTCTATTTTTCCATCCCTTTTTATTACAAAGTGGACCTATTTAAACTGCATTGGTCGACGTGGTGACTGTAACAACCGGAAATAAATTTTCATTGATGTTCATGTTGACATGTTTTGGTACATTTTGAGGTATCGAATGACTAATTTAAAAATAATTCTTTATGTCAAAATTTTAGTTTTAGGTCGGATGATAAAGTATTCATCTAGCTAGAATTTGCATATCGATATTGGGATTGTTTTGAAGCTCATATTAATTGGCAAATTTTGTACTCGAGAAAACGTTATTTCGGATAAGTTAGGCCCATGATTTTGATGTTCAAAGAATGTACATGATTAATTAGGCTAATTGAGGAATTAATAATTGTTGGGCCAGCCACGTGTGATTGAATCCGGTATTTTATTTTTATTAGTTTAGATGAAAGCTGTTAGGAGTTTATTTTATTAGATTAGGCAAATTGAATTTGATTTGGTTTTGGATTAAGTCAAGTACACATTCTATCCTATACCAAGAAAGCCTATTTCTATCCAAACTCTACTATGTGGAATCCTTTGGTTAATTAACTTCTGGGAAGATACACAACTTCCCATCCGGGGAAAAGAAAAAGAAAAGACAACAGGGAAGTAGAAACTAATTTTGCACGGCCATCCTTAGAAAAAAAAGGGGGGAGGGGGTTTGGGGAGAATATCGAATGAATGTAGCCACTACGTCGTCACCGCGATTTGAGGTAGGATCCCTACGCGAAGTTATTGTTATGTGAATTAAATTTCCGTTAAGCATGTTATTCGTTATATTTGCTCATGAAGTATATGATGTTCTTTTAAAGGGTTTCACTTAAATGTTGATGCAAGAAAGATTTACATGTTTTACTGATGGTCGTAGAGGCTTATCAGAACTTTAAGTTTATATGTTAACTGATGGTCGCAGAGGCTCATCAGAACCCTAAGTATATATATTAAATTGATGGTCGCAGAGGCTCATCAGAACCTTAAGCAAAACGTTTGATCATCGATTTGCTTATTTATGAAGGCAATATGCAAGGATGCTTGATTAAATATATGATTGTTATGTTCATATAGCACGTGTAGCCTACTGAGTATTTCTTGAGATGCTCACTCCTATTTAAATTATTCAAAATCATCGGAGATCGAGCGGTGGTTCAGCATGGATGGCATGTGTTATTTTTTGAGAAATTTATTTCTTATGATTTATATGATCACTTTCTGTTTAGTAATCATTTTGGGGTGTCCCCAGATTGTAGTTTTAAAAAATTATGATTCAAACAGTACCAGTAATGTTTGAACCGTTGGAAAATGAACCCTTGTGAGTTGTTTATCATGTGAAACTGGAAATAGGTCGATCGGAGTCCCGTAGAATTTACTGTAATAGTTTTAACAAAACTGTGGCAGCCAAATTCGGGAATATGCTGACCAGCTTGTTCGGAATAATTTCGAGCTTCAAACGTAGGCTTCAAGATCCCGAATTTTTATATGTTGTTCTCATATAAGTTATATACTTTCTTGTAAAATTTCATATGTTTTCGTGAAGGTTTCCTAGGTCAAATAATTTTTGCAAACTCATCGTCTAACTGTAGAAAACTATTTCAGCTTGCTTTTTTAAAAAAAATGAAAAATAAAATTATGATTATATGTTTTGAGCAAATAAGTTGTAATTTGGAAACTTTCTTAAATCTCGTACTTAGGAGATTATCGTTAAAGAACGCATTCTTGGTAATGCACTGGGTTATTAGAATTCGAGGCGTTACAGTTGGTATCAGAACCAGGTTTTACTTTCCTACACACTAAATAAAAAAAATTTACCGGTCCAAAATTCACATTTTAAGAGATTTTATGTTCGACTTATTGTTAGAGTTTTGTTGATTTGCATAATTGGAAAATTGAAAGACTTTGTCAAAAAGACCCAAATTGTCTAAGAAGAGTTTGGGATTTAAGCGGTCCATTGAGACCCCCTCCTTATCTGGAAGCCTTTTGATTGTGCATTATTCAAATTAACGAGATGAAATACAATATTTTAAACCTTTCCAAAAAAAAAAATTAAATTTTTTTTTAAGCTTCATTTTTGAGAAAATCCTATTTTTTGAGATTACAAAAAATACAGTATTTTCATAAATATTAGGAGTTTATGGACAATGTGAAAGTTAAAGTCTTAAACATGTAATGAGATGAAGAATCCCTAGCACGTGGCGCTCACTGTTCGACACTCTCCAATCGATCCCAACGTATGAAATGAAATGTCGTTCTTTTATCATGATTATGAGTTTTCTTGATTTATGTTATGATATATTGTAATTATGTCAATAATCAAGTATTTATAAGTTTTCAAGTAGTTGATATAATTTCGAGGACGAAATTTTTTTAAGAAGGGGAGATTGTAGCACCCCGAAAATTTTAGAATGAAATTTTGTATTCAATTTCATGATTTTGAAAGTTGAGGGACTAAAAATAAAATATTAAATTCTTAT